GCATGGACACTGGGCCCGGTGCTGGGCGGCATGGACACTGGGCCCGGTGCTGGGCGGCAGTGGACACTGGGCCCGGTGCTGGGCGGCAGTGGACACTGGGCTTTTCTGTTTCATTATTTACTTGCGGTGCAGACTTGAAACTCTCCCTCTTCCGGGATGCTGGCCCTAGGGGGTCAGCCCATGGAGCTTCCCCTCTGGAAGGATCACCTTCCTCTTTCTCATGGAGGGTCTGTGCTTTCTGGTGCTTCTTTTTAACTAGACAAGTTGATGCTGGTAAATAATTCCTCTACCAGTTACCAAAGTTTAGGAGTTTGAGTGAAAGAGAAGGTAATGTTCCCTTCAGGATACTCTCTCCTGTTCTCATTAATGGTGTCTCGCTACGGTTCTTTCCCTGTGCAAAGACACATCACGTTTCTCGCTCCTGTTCACACCCCCCCACCCCCAAGGGCGTATGTGTCATGTAGTTGGGGACTGGCTTTCCAGCAGGATGGCCACCGATATCACAGTCACCATGTCAGTGGCTCCTTCTGGATCATTGTAAGCAACTTTTGTTCACATTTTTGTCTTACGTCAAATGTTTTGTTCCTTTAAATTGAATTTGCTCCAGATAAACATCATTGCTAAAACTTCGGGAGTTCATTCCAGTGTGGGCTCAGGCTGAAATCCTTGGCTATTAAGATACATTAATTTCTAGGGCTGGTCCGCTTAGCTCAGGAGCCATAGACCCAACCTATGACTTAACATAGTCAAAGGAAAAGTGTATTTCGTCAGTTACACAGCCGTGTTCCAAGAAATTACAGCTGATAGAATTGTGTGCACTACCTCCAGGGTTTAGCAAATCTGGAGTCAAAGCCTCCCTGGTGTGGTATTTTAGCGGTGTCTACAGGAAACTAGAAGAGCTAAGACAACCTTCAAAAGACCTTTGGAGTAGTTGTGAAACAAAGGTTCTATGTTACTTCATGTTGGCTCTTGAACTATTTATCTTTGCTTTGTGTAGACACCATAAGCACAATGACGGAAAACAACACCACTCTGTCAAGAGAAAGCATCCAGTGAACTGATGGGTGGGCAGGGTCATGGTAGTTTTGAGTCAGTAAGATGAGGCCTGTACCTGGGCAGCCTCTTTGAGCACTGTACCTATCTCAGGGCACACTGAACAGGGAGTCTGCCACCCCACCTCGTGTTCCTCATATCTAAGCTGAGCTACCCAGTGAGGAAACCAAGAACAACTTCTGTGTTGGAATTATGACATGTCTGTCATGTTCTAAGAAAAAAGAGCAAAGAGAAAGAACCAGGGGGTTGAGTCAGACCCTGGTTTCATCCCACCACTGCTGTAAGTTGGGTGTGTGGCATGGGGTCATCTCAGTTAATCTCACAGAACCTAAATGTCACTAGTAAAACAACAGTCTTGACTCTGCAGAGATCTTGTGAGGAGTTATGAGAGAGTTTCCATGCAAAGCATTCTACATAAGGGCTATTTCAAAGGATGGTGGGTGCGAGTATGATCCTTAATGGTCACTTAGTGTTAGTGTTAGTATTACAATCTTAACTATAATCACCTCCAAACAGACTTAACAAGGGTAGACCCAAGTCATAAGAAATTGAAGAGTAGAAATTGTGTGTGTTTGAAAGCTAGTCAGTCTAAAGTAATATGGTATCGAGTCGACTGGCCAAAGATTTTTCATTTGATCATTTTTCTTCAGAGTATGGCACTTTGACCATCATTTCTGCTTAATTTGGCTTATAGTGTGTGTGTGTGTGTGTGTGTGTGTGTGTGTGTGTGTGTGTATAAATATAGAAGTATGATTGGAATGTCTCCAGGAAAAGAGTTTCACGAACCACAAAGCTGCTAAGGGGTCTTAGAATCAAATGCTGGGGTAGACCAATAGATTTGCCAACTCTGGTCTACATAGTTGGCAACATTTATTTTGGGGAAACGATTCCATCCACATCATGGCGTTCTCTGTGCCTTTAAGTGCACTCTCTCACCTCCATCACCCAGCATCTGGAAATGTAATTTCAGGCAAAGATTTTTTGCCTTTTCAGTAATGAAAGGAAATTAACTTTTCATTGAAACCCTCTTCTCTAGACCCGTGATGTTTTATGACACACTTCTCTTGTGTTACTTAAATGGTTATTTCTCTTTGATTGAGTTGCTGAGCTTTAGGGAATCTCGGTAATCTTCTGGTTCCCACGGGTGCTGAGAGGAAGGTCTGTCTCTGCTGAGGCCTCTTTCTCCATCACAACCAATACCCATTGACACCAACTTCCCTCCTCTCACTGGCCATTGGCTCAAAAGACACAGGGCCAGAGCCCACACACGCACTGTGTCTCTCCCTTGTCTCTATCATCCTCCTTCCTCTCCCCTTGGCCTAGAATCTCTTTTAATGAAAAGTCAAGCACTGTTGATCAGCTTTTGCGCCCTGTCCCTGTCCCTCACCCACATCTTGCAATGGAGGCTCCAACTCAGCTGCTTCCTGCTTTGCAGATCTCTCTCTCTCTCTCTCTCATGGGCAGAACTTAAAGGATTTACCTCTAGCAGCCTCCTTCTGCTTGGCAGTAAAGCCCTAGGCTACCACAAAATCAACTCAAAACTGAAAAGCTAGTATGTCTTCTGGATGCTTTAATGGACAACCTGAACTCCCCCTTGACTTTAAAAATAGGAAGTATCACCAGCACTTGCCATCTGCCTCATTTTATAGAGAACTCGCCAGTGCAAGCCTGAGAACGTGTATTTTTCATTTAAAATTCATTTTTACCCCTTGGCATTTATAGAAGCAGCAAATGGGAGGTCTGTGCATTTAACCCCTGAATAAATGGGTTTTGTTTATTTTGTCTTATTTGTCGGATGCGCATCTTTGGAGTCACTTGCAACCCAGCAGCCATCCAGGGGTTTTGGATAGGCCAAGTGGAACATCACATCGCCCCTCTCATCCTTAATCCCAGTGCTGCTATTTTCTCTTGGATGGAATGGACTGTTCCACAGTTTGGTGTAGATGATTTTCTCCTGCAGGGGTGCCATCAGCGTGGCGTGGACAGATACTTGGATGAAAATTTACCCACTTTGGTCAATATTTTATATTAAATAATACAAACATTATCATCCATAGGCTCTGTTGTTCCTTCAAGGACCCTAACTTTCCACATTCATGTTCCAGTGTAAGTCAAGTGAGACTTCCAATGTTCTTAAAGAGTTCAACTCCAGCTCTATGCCTAGAGTTCAGTCACTTACTGAAACTCCCCTAAGAGAAAGGGAGCCAGAGAGGTGGTTCACACCTGACATGTGTTTATGTCCACTGGGGTCTGGACACCAACGGACAAGAAGCACAGGGGTTCGCACTTCTGAAGCTTCGTCACTCTCTAAATGTCACAGGGGATGGTGGCCAGACCGGGCAAAGTCTTAAGAGCCGAAGCTCCCATTCCCCGCGGCAAACGCAGCCTGGCAAACAGGCAGTGCCAGGGTCTCCCTCCACGGGAAGGCTGGCTCGCACCGCGCAGCTCAGCACATCCACCCGCGCGGCGGAAGAGGGGCAGCAGGAGAGCGCTACTTACTGTTTGGGTCGACGTTTTCACAGAGCTCTGTCTTTGCCTCGCCGTTGGGCCTGTCACTGGGTTTGTGTGACAGCCGCGATGACATGGTGGCTGCCGTGACTACGGCCTTGAAGCTTCGCTTCCGTTTCTGGACATTGAGTTCAGGGTGGAAAATGATGATGTACACTTTCGGCATGTAAAGCATCCCCAGCGCCACGGACGCACTTAGGTTCATGGAGATTGTGAGCGTGGTGGTTTGTATGTAGAGCTAGGAGACACAACACACAAGACACTATTACAAATCAAATGACCGCAGCTGGAGTCCGAACACGGCCAGCCGCGTCAGAGGTGGCGACGGCTGGGAGCGAGCACCGTGACCTCCAGGGTCTTCGCTCTAAAGGGAAGACAGAGAGGCACGCTTCTCGGAACGTTCATGCACACACTAACTGGTGGAAAGCCGCGGGCGAGGCCGTGTGCCACTGGGTGGCTCACCCTGGAGACGCCTCACCCTGGAGACGCCTCACCCTGGAGACGCCTCCAGCAAGCTCGAGGCCAGACCTTGAGCCTGAACGCAGCTCAATACCAAGATGCTCCGCTCACAGCAACTTGTAATCCCGAGGAAGAGGTGGCGGTTTTGTATCTCCCACACGGACACGAAGTACTAACACTACTCGATTGCTTGACACACAGAGATTCTGGGGCCTTATTTGCAGAGTCCTTATGTCAACACAGGCCTCCATCTATATTTTTTAAAAGATTTGCCTTTACTGTACCTATGGCGCTATGAGTTGAGTATCCCTGAAAAGTAAACCTTTTGGCTTAATCCTGGTCGAAAAACCACCAGCGGCAGGGCCGAGACCTAGTGGCCTGGCTCGCCCAGTGTCCACCGTCCACTGATGACTCACTACGAGGACCTGACACTGCCTCTGCCCCCGTGTTGTGGGTGCTTTGAGGTCGGCCTGGTGACCCTGGCACCTGCGGCTCCCTCGAAGTGGGCAGCAGGACGGTTCACTCATGTACACTGTGCCCAGTCGTCTCCTCGGCTGTCAATTGGCAAGTGGATGGTTGAGTGACCTCAGTACACACCGTGCTTTCCCGCTGATGATCCCCCAAACAAGAGCTGTGTGAACAAACGGATGAATACGCAGATAGGGAGGCGCATTTCAGTCACATAAACTGAAAACGGAAGCAGTGAGTAGCTAGTGTGGTCTAGCTCCTTCAGCATGTATTTTTCTTTTATAAACTTTAACCAACACGGCCCTCCCTGGTGGCACAACAGCTTAAAGCACTGAGAAGCTAAAGCTGCTTCCGCATGAGTTCGATCCCCGCCTGCCCCGGAGGGGACCCCATGGCGCGGCAGACCTCTCCCGACCCACCTGCTGCTCCCCTCAGCTGTGCACTTTGTCGAACTGCCGATTCTGCTCCCCACTCTCTCTCTGGTGAATCCTGTCACCGCCTCTGCCCCTCTGGCCTGTACCCCCGTTCTGTATGCGCAAATAAATAAATACTTAAAAAAATTCACGAAGAAAGATATAATGCCACCCTTCCTGGCCACCCCTGGTCTCTGCCCTGCCTCTTTTCAGACCACAACCCTGGCTTTTCCTCTGAGCACACCCCCACGCCTGAGCCTTAGGGTGCTTATCTCAGCAGCTGCGCCTCTCGCCCAGGCCTGGCCTCTCGTGGACACGTACTCAAAGAGCTGCCTTCCTGGCCTTGTCGGGTGTGTTTCGAACTGCGCACCTGGCAGTTCAGGTGACTACAGCTTTCTGGCAAATAACCCTTCAAATGTGTATGTCTTTGAGTGGCTTAAAGGAGCTGCCGGCTGCTAACTGTAAACCATACATGTATGCAGTTAAAGACAGAGCAACAGGGATGTAGGACCCTTGATTGTTCCATCACATTCTGGAATGAAGCTCATCTCTCCCCACGAGGATAACGTCGGCCCTTCAACTCCAGCCCTCTCTGCTCATCTGCGCTGTAAAGGACAGCTCGCCATGGCCACAGGGCTGGGAGCCTGGACCGTGGCCCTGCTGACCAGTCGCTAATGAGGGCTCTGCAGATCGCAGTGTGGCCAGTGCAAGACAGTCGGTGTGCATAGCACCCCTGGGATCTGCGGGTTTGCTGTTCCTCCGATCAGCTGCAAATTTTGTAGTAAAGTCTGAATTGGTTTGGCTTGACTCTGCCTGTAGCTGTAGATTTCAGTTTCCATGCTTGTGTGTGTGTGTGTGTGTGTGTGTGTGTGCGCGCGTGCGTGTGACGCACAGCCGCACCGACCTCTTCCTGGCAGAGATGGTGCTGAGGACTGCCAGCTAGGTCCTGCTCACCACACGGTGGCCTCGGTTTTATGCCGCTCCAGCTGGGACCCACGGCGACTGGAACTTAGTTTTGAAAATGTGTCAGACATTTCAAAAGTGTCCTGTGAAAACCAACGTGGATGCCATGGCCAAATTCCCACCCCAGGGCTCCAACCTCGCGGCAGGAGAGTGAGGGTAGAGCCAGCCTGTCGGGATTCAGACCTGTGGCCTTGTTACTGCGATTTCCCCAGAGAGAGCAGGCAGCCCTGGGGGCAGGGGGAGGGGAGGTTTACCTGTCACGGCGCCGGCTCAGTGGGATCAGAGCCACGAGGCTGAGCCCCGAATGGCAGGAAGGAGCAGTGGGGTTTATACAGGTTGTGGGAGCAGCCCCCTCACACATCCATGACAGCAGGAGCATTCTGTACTGCCTGGAAGGGTCAGGGGAGCCACGGCCACTCCCGTGGGCCAGCAGCAGACTCTGCGGGGACCTTCTGCCCCAGAGAGCAGCAGACCCCAAGCCGCAGACTCCCCCAGCAGCAGGCCCGGGACAGTAGCTGGACCTGAGCAGACCTGGGAAACACCCTGCTTCATCCTTAGCCAAATCACCTGCCCCTGGGCCTTGTGCCAGCTCCCGCCAGTGGGGTTGGGGGTCCCCCGGCGAGCCGTGACGATGACATGCGTACTTGTTCAGTGCCCAGGACAGGACCCAGCAGTACTGCAAAGGTGCTTTTAAAGATGAGTCGGGGATCACGTGAGGGAGGCTCTAGCCTGCAGGGGTCTCCCCTGAGCCTCGGGAGGGGACCCGAGTCTCTCTCTGGCCTTGGCAGCTGCCTTTTGTCTTTTGCGTTTCCGCGCGGGCGTCTCCCTAGTAGTTTCCTGGTGTACACACAGCACGCCTTCCTCGGTCTGCGCTGGCTGCTGTTGCACTGGGTGCTGGCTGCCAAGGAAACCCCCACTTAATTTGGGAATTGCACCCCACTTAACTGTACCTTCCTTCCTCTATCTTTGGAACTACCAGGGCGTTGGTGATGGCTGCTTGGAGGTCATGGAGGCTCAGAGCCTTTCCTTGCACCCCCAGTTTTGTCTGCGATGAAGGGTCCCCCAGACTGGCCCGCAGCGGGGCGCCCACCCATCCTGGCTGCCTGTGAGCCTGCCCCCATGGACGAAGGTGCCTCCCCTCCAAGGTGGGTCCTGGACAGCCAGCCCTGGAGCCGGACACGGCCACTTCCGACTTCCCCAGGCCGTAATGCTGAAGCCTTCATTTTGGCGTCGAGCGAAATGCACTTCCAGAATCCAGTTTCTGCTTCCTGCCTGGAGGTGGCTTTTCTCACCACTACCCTGCACCGTCGGCTTCTCTAACTAAAGACGTCTGGGCGAGGATCAAGTCAAGCCAGCAGCGTCTCCTCAGCACAGCAGGTCAAACGCTCTGCAGTGTTCCTGTGCAGCTCGGGTTCACGTCACGCCTGCTGTGTCAGTCCCCTCTCAGGCTGTCACCGAAGAACCGAAGTCACGGTCCCTGTCTCTGATGGTAATTTTGCAGATGCGCAACTCTCTGGGAAGTACCTCGCAGAATATCTGAGGAAGACGGAGAGCTGCCACGCTGATAGCCTGCCAGGTATTTCCACGAGGTTGTTGGGCTGAGCACCTGAGCTAAGGCTCCTGTCACCGCTTTCATACTATTTCAGCTTCTCACATGTTGCTCTGCCGCGTCTGAGAGGCCGGGCCTGTTCAGGTCTCCTCGGAGGAAAGGGGCCGCTCCAGCAGGCCGGTGCAGCCGAATCTGAGCCCGGCCCTGCCCCGTGTCGCCCAGCAAGCTCACTGCAGCTGGGAGCTGGGCGCGTGCCCGGAGCTGCACGGGTGTGCTCCGCGCGGGCCACACACTCGAGGCCGGCTGACGCGCGCTGTCTGATGCGCGGCGATGAGAAACTGGACGTCTCGTTAGCGCGTGGCCACTGAAGTCAGCCGCCTCCTCTGTGACCTTTCAGAATCAGTGTCGCTGAGCTATTTCGAGGGGGCTCAAGGCAAGTTACTATTTGTGATAGGGACGTTTTCAACTTTGAAAAGCAGATTCTTGTTGACGCTAGCCAAAGAAGAAGAGACAAGAGTTTCAGGCCCCAGAGATGCACATGCAGCCCAAGCTACCAGGAAAACCTCATTTCAGATTTCCGGGTTCATTGAAACAGACTCGGCTCGGGGGACGGAGTCCTTGTATTAAGTCAAAAAAATAACACCACGGTGTTTCCTCTGACGAATCGCCACCTTTCTCTGGATGCAACTTGCACTGGAGAAAGCTCTGCAGCTCTTTGGTGTTGTGAAGCCACTGACAGAAGAGCTGACTGACTTTGGTCCGCCTGCCGTACATCCCGCGTTATCGTGTGCTCCAGAGAGGCTGTGAGACACGTCCCTTCTCCCGCTGGCGGGCTCTTCCTCTTTGTGGTTCGCTGGGACGTCAGCAGGTGGCTGCAGGACACGTCGGCCGCGCGGCCCAGGCCTTCCCCAGTTATCTGGCCGCGCCGTCGCCCTGCGGAGGGTCTTCGGGTCGCTGCTACATCCTGCTTATATCCACTGCTCGGTCCAGCGGGGCCTTCTGCACCGAGCGGCCCACCTCCCAGTCGGGACAGTTTCCCAACGGCCCTTTCAAGGGGGAGGGCCCCAAAGGACACCTAGAGGGGGCCCTCCCTCCCTGCTGGCGCGGGGGTTCAGTCTCAGCACCATGAAGCTCTCAGCAGCCACCGCACATGAGTTCGATCCCCGGCCAGGGACGGACCCGCGTGGCGCAGCAGACCCCTCCTGACACGCCCGCCGCTCCCCTCAGCAGTGCTTTTCAGCGGATCTGCCTGTTCTGCTCCCCTCTCTGTCTCTGGTGAGTCCTTTCATCCCCCACACCTCTGGCCTGTACCCCAGTTCTTGTGCATAAATAAATAAATATGTTTTTAAAAAAGAGAACACCTAGCCTGGTCTGTGGCGTAAGGGG